CTCCGTATCCAACTTTGGCTACGCCGTATCTCTACGAAGCATAAAGATATTATTTTTTGTTGGGTCCCTGGTCATGTCGACATACAGGGCAATGAACGGGCAGACACTGCTGTGCGGTCAGCAGTACATGACCTTCCAATTTCCTATAGAGGTGTTCCATTTCTGGACTATTTTGCTGCAATAGCTACCCACCTTCATGCTGTTGGCAACAACGTTGGTCAACTCTGCTTGGTAACAAACTTCATTCTATTAAACCGAGCATAGGTTACTGGCCGTCCTCTTGTCATCAGTGCCGTGGTTGGGAGACCACTCTCTCCCGTCTTCGCATTAGCCATACTCGTCTTACGAGTATCTCATGGAGAGGCACCCTGTACCTCTCTGTGAGCAGTGTCAAGTTCCTGTATCGATTAGCCACATTCTATTAGACTGCCCTCTCTATCAACGAGCATGCAGAATTTACCTCCAATGCCGTCTTTGTTCTACTCTCTCTTTACCTTCCCTTCTTGCTGATGGACCCTCCTTTAATCCTGACTCTCTCATTGACTTCTTGACAACGACTGATTTACTCCACAAACTCTGATGATACCTTACGCACTCCCCTCAGCCCTTTCTAGCTCAGTCTCTTGCTGCCCTTTACCCTTTCACCATCCACTGCTCCGCTGTTATCCGTAACCTATTACTCGTCCACCTCCCTTTTGCCACCTGATGCCCTCGCTTCCTTCCTGCCCTGCAGCGCTGTATAGCCCTTGTGGCTTAGCGCTTCTTTTTGATTATAATCTACCTCGATTATCCTAGAGAGGTATCCCTTGTATCCGATAACCCCAGCCCTTTCTACCTGAATTTTTAACGCATAATAGCTGTGCAATGAGATCCCAGAATTCACATTCTTCTGAATCCCCAAGTTTTAATTAACGTTTGTTTGAAGGCCATAAGGCATTTTACGAACTTTACGGGTTTATCGCTTTTTCACATGTAACTTTTTTTTCTTTAATCCGTGAGGCACGTTAAACCAGTATTTCACACAGCCTGAGAGAGGAATGGGAGGTAGTCAGGTTCAATCCAGGAAAAGGGATTTCAGGTCCGATTCCTTGGATCAAGGGCCCTTCAGCGGCATTAATGACCTCCCTTGAGGGAGATCATCATGCGATGTCTTGTTATAGAAATATTTTTTTTTATTTTTGCATACATTGTATGACCCTGGTGGATTTAGCGCTTCTTTTTAATTTTAATAATTATATTGCATACATTGAAATACAATTATTTAGTTGACACATAATACCACATGTTAAATTTAATCTATGATAAGCAAATAGTCAATGTGACTGAGTTTTTTACTCTATTGGATAATACATATTTAATGTACAACGTAAGTTACTGTGTAAGACGATTGTAAAAAAAACCTGAATTTGTATATTTAACCTGAATAAAAGCTTGCTAGGGGACTCCAATGGAAGTTTAGGCTTTATTCATGAAGCTACCTTCAAGGAAGGTTCCTCGATGCTGGTGAGGGGCTCTTGATCTGGCGAATTGGATCTGTGCTCCAGTTCCCTGAATTAAGTGTGAATACCTTACACATCCCCCCCACAGGCGCTGTATAATCCTACGGGTTTAGCGCTTCCCCCTAGATTATAATATACATGAAGCTAATTTTTTGCAATGGTCTTGCACAGAACATAACCTAGGCTAACTTAAAATCGTCAAACTAGTCTATATATATTGCCGCCTCCTCTCCTTTCTCTCGGCTAGCATTTTTACAGATGAATTGTATGCCATTCTCGTAGCACTTATCCGTATTGCAACTATGCCTGTGTCGCCATTTGTGGTAGTTTCAGACTCCCTTAGTTCTTTGCAGGCTATACGAAAATCTCATTCACCTCATCCCGTGGTTCTTCGTATCCAACTTTGGTTATGCCGTATCTTTAGCAAGCACGAAGATAGTTTTTTGTTGGGTCCCCAGTCATCTTGACGTACAGGGCAATGAACAGGCAGACACTGCTGCGCGGTCAGCAGTACATGACCTCCCAGTATCATAAAGGTGTTCCACTTAGACTATATTTCTGTAATTGGTACACACCTCCGCACCCGTTGGCAACAACGTTGGTCTGACTGCTACATAACAAATTACATTCTATTAAGCCAAGTATAGGTTTCTGGCCGTCTTTTTGTCATCAGTATCGAGGTTGAGAGAGAACTCTCTCCCGTCGTCGCATCGGACACACACTTCTTACTCGCTGGTATCTCATGGTGAGGCGCCTTGTTCCACTCTGTGAGAACTGTCAGGTTCCAGTTTCTCTTAGCCATATTCTGTTGGACTGTCCACTCTATCAACCAGCACGCAGAATACAAATAACGTCGTCACCGCCTTTACTGCCCATACTTTACCTTCCCTTCTTGCTGATAGACCCTCCTTTAACCCAGATTCTCTCGTTGACTTTTTGACAGCAGCTGATTCACTGCACAAACTGATGTGTCTATCACTCCTCACGGCCCCCTCTACCTCAAGTTGTGATGAATGGTTTTGAAAACCGACAAGTTGAAGAATTGAGACACTTATGCAACACATGGGAATCTTTATTGAAGAAACGTTTCGCCACACAGTGGCTTCATCAGTCCAATACAAAGTAGAAATGGGTAAGGAGAGTAGAAGTTTGAGGTAATCAGTCCCTCAACCTGGAATCGATGTGTTCAGTCCATCACTCTTGTAGGAAGTGCAGCACAGGGCCAGAGAGGTGACTTATATACTGCGGTGAGATGAGTCCAAGCAGGAAGAGGCGGGATCACAGTGGGACCTGCCACTAGTGTAAGTAGGTCGTCGCCCAAAGGTTGGGCAAGCGTTGAAGTCTTTGTACCAAGATCCCATGATGTTGCAGTGTCTGACAGATGTGATGAATGGTTTTGAAAACCGACAAGTTGAAGAATTGAGACACTTATGCAACACATGGGAATCTTTATTGAAGAAACGTTTCGCCACACAGTGGCTTCATCAGTCCAATACACTAGTGGCAGGTCCCACTGTGATCCCGCCTCTTCCTGCTTGGACTCATCTCACCGCAGTATATAAGCCACCTCTCTGGCCCTGTGCTGCACTTCCTACAAGAGTGATGGACTGAACACATCGATTCCAGGTTGAGGGACTGATTACCTCAAACTTCTACTCTCCTTACCCATTTCTACTTTGTATTGGACTGATGAAGCCACTGTGTGGCGAAACGTTTCTTCAATAAAGATTCCCATGTGTTGCATAAGTGTCTCAATTCTTCTACCTCAAGTTCTTGCTACCCAATACCCCTGCACCCTTTTCTGCCCTGCTGCGCTGTATGACCCTTGTAGGTTTAGCGCTTCTTTTTTATTATGTTTAATGTTCCAGTCACGGTATTGTGCCTTTTAGTTCTTTCTTATTGTGGATTTTAAGTTTGCATACCCTTGTAACTTTTTCTATATGTAACTATTGTAGGCTCTATCTTTGAATATAATTTATTTTGCTTTTCAATAAAATCATCCTTGATGCTGGCGAGGGGCTCTTCATCTAGGGAATTGGAACTGTGATGCAATTCTCTGAATTAAGCCTTACTGTCTTCCATCTTCCCCCACAGGTGCTGTATAATCCTACGGGCTTAGCGCTTCCCTAAAATGATGATAATCAGTAAAATCAATGGAATTTATCCTGATACTCACACTGTGTACAATCTAACCTTGCATAAGCCAATAAAGTCAAAGAATGTGGAACCGAACCAATGATAACCCAATCAAGTCAATACAATGCTGTATAGTCCTTGTGGCTTAGCGCTTCTTTTTGATTATAATAATAATAATAAGTCAATACAATAAGTTCAATTATAATAACTCATTAGTCAATGTGGAATTTTACCCAGACTAAAGCTCTGCATAACCAGGGGGCTTCCATATTGCTCTAATAAATCCTGCTGCTGTATAGCCCTTGTGGCTTAGCGCTTCTTTTGATTATAATAATAAATCCCGCCTAATAAAAAATTGCAATAACCGAGTATCATGTGGAAGTAAATCTATTGTTTATATATGTTGTGCCGAATAGGACCCCTCAAGGAAGGTTCCTTGATGTTGGTGAGGGGCTCTTGATTTAGGAAATTGGATCTGTGCTCCAGTTCCCCGAATTAAGCCTGAATGCCTTCCACATCCCCCCCCCCAGGCGCTGTATAATCCTCCGGGTTTAGCGCTTCCCCTTGATTATAATAATAATAATGTGCCGAATAGGTAAAATTGGTCAATTAACGAGAGCTCGTTTAAAATCAATTCCTTTCTAAAATTTTCTCATACAATTAAAGATACATTTTTTTTCATTTATATTAATGATAATGATTTTGTACTAAAAGGACCTTGGGGAAACTTTCCCAACCTTATTATTACAAGAGCAATTTAATTTAGCCTAATACAACTAAATATGTTTTATATAAGTTTACTATGTGTGCCCCTCAAGGAAGGTTCCGTGATGTTGGTGAGGGGCTCTTGATTTAGGGAATTGGATCTGTGCTCCAGTTCCCCGAATTAAGCCTGAATGCCTTCCACATCCCCCCCCAAGGTGCTGTATAATCCTCCGGGTTTAGCGCTACCCCCTTGATTATAATAATAATAATAATAATAATAATACAGTAATTTAATAATAAACAAACACAATGAAATATATTTTTTTTCCGTTAGGTACAAAATAATTTTTGCGAAATTATTGCATACGCAAATTTTTGCTTGCCTTATTCGGCAAGAAGAGCGTTGCTATTTAAGCCTACCCCTCAAGGAAGGTTCCTTGATGTTGGTGAGGGGCTCTTGATTTAGGGAATTGGATCTGTGCTCCAGTTCCCCGAATTAAGCCTGAATGCCTTCCACATCCCCCCCCAGGCGCTGTATAATCCTCCGGGTTTAGCGCTTCCCCCTTGATTATAATAATAATAATAATATTTAAGCCTAAATCGCAAGCTTTACCTATTCGGCACGACATAGATATTGTGTAATCCTCATTTTTGTGGCGGTGGTCCGGCCAGACACCCGCGTGTGTCCTCCAGCAGCTGCTGTGTTGTTCTCTCTATTTGTGGATTATTATAGTGTTTTAAGGTTGATGGTGGCTCCACCAGCAGCCAGACTGACATAGGTGAGTCTTCTTACAATGACAATAAAAAAGAGTGATGAACTTAACACTAGGAGAGTTATATTAGGCATGACAGGTAGTTACTTCAAATTACCCGAGAAAAACACTTCAGTCTTAAATAAATCTCTGAGTTAAGTGATAATAGTGTCATAACATTAATATCAATAAACATCATGTCACTGAATAAAAGTATAAACAAAAGGCAATTATAGATTAATTTTATTTTCTAAAAGTTATAGCAAGTCAAGATTCGATGGTAAGTTTTTATTTAGGCTTTTTATTTATATAATGTGCGAAGCAAAATTATTTATTTTGAATACGTACGTATGTTACGAGAACATAAATACTTGAACCTAAGATAACACAATAAAATCAGTGTGACATTGTTTATGTCGAAGCACTAAACCCGTAGTGATCATACGCGCCTGGATTATGATTAAGTGTTAAACCCCTAAGGGTCGTACAGCGCTATACGCGCCTGGTGAATTTGGAATGGCAGGCACTCAGGTTTGATCCAAGGAAGTGGCGGGTCACACCAGTGACATGGATCAAGAGCCCTTGACTATCATCAAGCCCCCCCCCCTTCCCCTCGACAGGCTCTTGCAAACGTGTATCCATTTAGACGGTTTAGTGTGTACTTCCCTATTTGTGGTTGCAGGGGCCGAGTCGCAGCTCCTGGCCCCGCCTCTTCACTGGCAATATTATATCAGCATATGTCGGCAAGGAATGTAAAAAAAAAAAATGCTTAAAATTGGTCTTTGAGTGTAATGTTTATTTGGATGTCAGGCGAGAAACTTTCCCAGCATTTGGAAAATGTCAAAAATAGTTATAATCATAACCATAATTTTTAAAGGGATGGACATTTTTGGGTAATCCTAGGTACTATACACATATGCTGCTGTGTATGATAATCTATGTAACTGCATGGTGAGGGGCTCTTGCTCAAGGGAATTGCTCTGTGCTCCAGTTTCCTGAATTAAGCCTATCTTCCATTCCCCCTTCCCACAGGCGCTGTATAATCCTACGGGTTTAGCGCTCCCCCATGATTATGAGAATAATAATCTAGCTGCGGGTCATCATATAATTAAGACCCGCATCAGGAAACACTTGTCCTGTTTCCTGACATCTTGACTTCCCAGTCTTCGTTGAGTACGTCACCTTCTGCTCTTTTTGCTTTGAGCATCTGCGACTGTTCCCCCCCAGCGACAGCGACTGCCTCTTGACGCTGGTGAGGGGCCATAATTGTGTGTACCTGTCTGGATTTGTTATTGGAACATTAATGTCCCTCGCATAAGAATTGGGATAGTTTGTATGAAACCACTGTAGTAGAGTGGTGTCAGTGTAAGATATAAGAACAGCGTCACCAGGGCTGCTCATCCATAGAGGTAAGCCAGACTTGGCAAATAGTTCATTAGCTGGCCATTTTAGGTTCTATTTGTTAGGTAGGCATTTACCCTTTACCAGGCCTGGAGAGGGGTGATCACCCTTTTCCACTCTTGGTAAAGGGGTGATTACCCTTTCCCAGGCCTGGTAAAGGGAAGTGTTCTGCAAGTAATTAATGGTGATCCAACATATCTATGGTGTGTGCTGAAGTTAAATTTTTCTTTCTAAATATTTGTATAATTTTTGTATAACATACATATATCATTACTTACATGCTGTAGACTGAATAGATCCCCATCAAGCCACAAACACAATATACAGTCCACTGTATTATAATTTACAAGTTACTGGTATTAATTTTTTATACATTTAAAATTTTATAGGCCCGACTGTACTTGTGGGTGGACAAGAGTGTGGGGGTCATGGAGAGGCATGGTGCAGCCTAGTGCCTGTAAAATCCCACCTAGCGCTGAGGTACAGCTAATATTGGTAAGTTTAATAAATTTTTGCTTAGTTGTACCCTCCGTAAATTATGTGGATGAAGTAGTACAGGAATGTGCCTGTTAACCCCATCCCCATAATTTCCCACAATGAGAAAAGTCACAGGGAGCTAAATCTGAGGAGTAGGAAGGGTGGGGGATAACCATTTTTATTTTTTGGGTTTTTTTGGGGGGGGGGGGGGGGGGGTGGCAGAAAACGCGATGGCCTTTCTAGTCTTGAGTCAGCAACAGGAGCACAAATTTCGCAGGGACTCTTCTCGTGTTCAGATTTTCAGTCAGTATGCTCATCAGTATGCCTTCCTCATTTTTTCAGTGTTGGCATCTATTTTTAACATTGATGGATGACCAGAGCGTTCACCATCCTTATCTAACGTTCATCCTGTTTTGTATCTAGAAAACTTTAAAACACCGGGGCCAGGAGCTGTGAATCGACCCCTGCAACCTCAACTAGTTGAGTACAGTCTGACCCATTTGCTTGTCGCCAAATGCTTGCTGAAGTATTTTATTTCATTAGCCGTTTTACCCAGCTTGAAACAGATTTACACATACAATGTTTTCTTTTAAATATTCCATTGTTACATATAAAAATTAATAACAACGCACTGACACGACAAAAAAAATGCCCGTTTAACCACAAGGAAATGACCAGCGGCACTGAAACTCGCCACAGTACTTCACAAAAGAGTGTACTGCGTAACGTGATCTGCACCGCCGCCTTGTTTCATTCATAATGATTCACACTTTTTTTAACTGTTGGTACCACTATGTTCTTGTACATTCCCTTTTTGCCTCCATAGATAAGATGTTTTTGTCTCTATAGATGCCTCATCACACCGCCCAACTTTATTCCCCCCTCTTCTCTTTTGTGGTTTATCTCTACTTGCATAAATCCATCCGCTGACAGGTCCACTCTCGTATATCTGAACACATTTGCTTCATCCATACTTTCTTCTGTTTGATATCCAGTCTTTCATTGCTTACATATTTTGTTACTCATCACTTGGCTCTTGCCTATGTTAACTTTTAATTTCCTTCTTTTACATACTCTCCCAAATTCCTCCATTAATCTCCGTTAGTAGATTAGTGGAAATTTCTCTATTGCTTGTGTTAGCACAAACAGCTGGTGGCCGCACTTGTAATACAGTATTGTGTAATTATTTTCTTTTAATAAATTTGAGTTAATAATATATACATTAACATTGTTCCTAAGGCTGTCCATCTAGATATTACTGTTACAGTTTGATTACAAAAGAAAATGGAGTAAACAAGCTAATTGATATTGAATAACCACGTAGTTTTGTTCTTTAATGAATATAATAATAACAAGTACACAGTCATGATGAGGGTAAGCCATCAACTCCTCAATTGCCAGTCCAAACTCTGGAACTCTCCCGACCGACTGGACATGAGATTTCCATGAAATATGAAACATGCAAAAATGCAGGAAGAATGCTTTTGGAGAGGCGCCCATGACTTCCCTCAGGACTGTCAGAAATGTTTTTGAACGTCCTCTATTATAGACACGTAGACTTCATTTCTCCTTTTCAATGCGCTTGTGCCCTCACTGGTCGAGTTCCTTGGAGAAACTGCACTCTTGACTTCCTTTCAAGGGGGAAGGGGGCTTGGGGGTCTTAGGCCTCCTAAAAATTTCCTAAGCCCTGAAAATAAAAAATAGCGATAATAACGCTGCTTCAAAATAAATCACTTAGCCCCCCTCCTCCCTCCGACCAGACAGTCACTCTTAACCCTTTCCCACTTCCTATATAGATATTTTGGCGACGCCGTTGTTTCCTTTTGCTCATGTACCACCTAATCTACATAGGTTTAGCAATTTTTCTTCTTAATATAATCCGATCACCTGTCTCAACTTCCTTGAATTACTCTAGGAATTCCTCCCAATCTCTATCCACCTCAACTTCTGGTACTTCACGCCTAACTTTTGTAAGGTTGAGGGATCACTGCTTCAGCACTTCCTGGTTGCAGTTCCTCTCAGGTGCTGCATACTGTTTTGCAGGACCTCGTCCTCTCAGTCACCTTCCGTCCGCCCCAACAGTGATGCTCAGAGAAGTGAAAGCTCTTGTTCACAGAAACTTACTTCTGTTCACCATATCTAAAAGATGGACTGCCAACACAAATGTTTACAGAACCCACAAGATGGACTACCATCACAAATGCTCACCATACCCACGAGATGGACTACCATCACAAATGCTCACCATACCCACAAGATGGACTACCATCACAAATGCTCGCCATACCCACAAGATGGACTTCCATCACAAATGCTCACCGTACCCACAAGATGGACTACCATCACAAATGCTCACCTGGTGGTGGCCTGGTGGTTAACGCTCTCGCTTCACACGGTGAGAGCCTGGGTTCGATTCCCAGCCAGAGTAGAAACATTGGACGTGTTTCTTTCCACCTGTTGTCTATGTTCCCCATCAGTAAAATGGGTACCTGGGTGTTAGTCGACTGGTGTGGGTCGCATCCTGGGACACTGACCTAAGGAGGCCTGGTCACAGACCGGGCCGCGGGGGCGTTGACCCCCGGAACTCTCTCCAGATAAACTCCAGATACCCACAAAATAGGCACACTTCATATGGCGAGTACTTTCCGTGCAAGCTCAGCCTTTATTTTCAACTGACGCACTCTGCAGATGGTTCATCTAGTCTCTGGCTCGCCTGATCCTCTGGCCTTGCTGTCTTCCGTTGTCGAGACGTGAGTCTCTGTTGACAAGAATTAACCTTCCTAATCCTGCAGTCATGCTTCCGGTGATCCGCTTCACCACACAGCCAGCACGAGCCCTTCGTTTTACGTCGCAGCTTCCCAGTCTCCTGGCCAATAGAAGCTTTTTTTCAACACAGCAACCATTCTTTGCCTCTAGTAACATTTTTTTTTCTCAGCGCTGTATAGCCCTGTTTAGCGCTTCTTTTTGATTATAATAGTAACATTTTTTCCTCGGTCTTTCCTGGCTGCTGTATTAGCTGTAGTAACCTTCAGCCCTGGCTGATTTCACTGTCGTATATCCTTATTCCGAACAAAGCAGTCATATGTTTATCGGGGATATTAGATTATCTTCCCTAAGATGCGACCCACAACACCCGAATTAACTCCTAGGTATCTACTGCAAGGTGAACAGAGACAGCTGGTGTAAGAACACTTGTCCATACGCTTCGTTCTGCCCAAGTTCGAATCTGCTCACAACCCCTTGGGTTGTGAGCTGAACGTTCTATTTTCGAACCAGGAGACATACCTTATAACAAGTTGACACATTGATATTTAGTAATGGCAAGACTATCAGATTATCACTACACATCACTTACAGTTTGCATATTGGACCTGCCCTCCCTTGGATCGAGCTGATTTCTTCCCATTTCCCAGGCGCTGTGTGACTTCTATGAGTTTAGCGCTCCCCACTGATTAAAATGAGAGTACCGTTTGCATAATTTCCGCGAAATGAACACAACACAACGTTCCTTGGACCCGGATAGCGTAGTGGCCACTGGAGTGAAAAAAGCTCCTTGCAAAACAAGTTTTTTGTAGGACAACTTCATTTGTTAGCTCCACAAAGTAATACTTGTTTAATAAGCTTTCAACAGAGCGAAACGCGGTTCCGATAAACTCTTTGTTTTGTAACGTTTGTCTGTTTTTCAACACCATTCAGCAGTGTGCACATCATTAATGGTGCCCTTCCCCGCAGTAAACAATGCGACTGTCATGACCTTCAAAACCGCGTGGATGGCCACCACAATACTGTCATTACACTCCACTGGTACACCGCATCAGGACACTTGAGACCACACACTGTCAGTACACCTGCAACTCTTCATTGCATTTCATTCCACTGTACAATGACGGTATGTTATATAGTACTATATATATTACTGAATCTGTACAGTTCACAGCACTACTCTATAGTCATTTTGTACTCAAGAATGGAATTGAATGAGAAAGTGGATTCAGTAGCTTCCAATATAGGAACCTGTCATACCGGTCGATGTCGAAGAGGCGGGGCCATTAGCTGTGACTCGATCCCCACAGTTAGAGTAAGGTCAGTACCACGTGACTGTACAACTCACGATGGCATCGTACATTACTGCTGTCCTTCAGTGTTAACCCTGACGACGACAGCTCACATTACACATGCTCTATAATCTGGGATAAGCAAAACTTCTCAGTTCAGACCTGTTAGTCAAGGCTAGCCAAGCAAATGCGCGTGACCCCAGCTGTCACACAGTCCTAAATACGACTGCTGCCTGATAGCCTCGTTGCTGCTTAACCCACTCGCCATACCTGTTCAGCAGAGGCCCGTTAGTTGTGATCAGCTGCCTACATGGAAAAGACAGCAGCAGACCCCACGATCCATATTGAGGCTGTCTGCTGAATAACTACACTCTAATAACCTCTTAATTGTAGATAAATGGCTCAGAGAACCAACGGGATGATGAATTAGATATTTGTGCAATACTTGGATATCTTTATTGTGGAAACGTTTCGCCAAACAGTGGCTTCCTCAGTCCAGTACAAAGAAGAATAGTTGAAGATCAGGAGGAGTTTGAGATAATCAGTCCCTCAGCCTGGAGTCGATGTGATCAGTCCATCAATAAGTAAGTTTATTTAGGCACAGGTACACAAGCACAATTGTCATACATAACGTAAATTACCTAGAATAACCCCAAAGTCAGACATTCCTCCTGATCTTCAACTATTCTTCTCCGTATTGGACTGAAGAAGCCACTGTTAGCAAAACGTTTCCACAGTCAAGATACCCAACTATTCCTATTCCACAAGTGTTTTACCCCTTAATTAATCACATAATTATAATGGAAAAAGACATTAAATAGTAAATGATACATAACTGGAACTTCTTTCAGCTCACGGGCCTTTTAAAGGTGTTGATCTCCAGCTCTGGTGTTTCTTGAAGGTGTTGGTCGCTAGTTCTTGGACCTCCTGCGAGAGTTGGGTTATAGCTAACATTTGTCGAGG